GACAAAAATAGGGGCGAATAAAATGCACACACATATCATATACAGCCGTTTTTATTTAATATAAACTCGTTTCCATGGCAACGGCAAGGTTTTTCTGGCCTATCCCAATCACCCAGTAGGTTTTAACTCTACACCAGTTCCTACGTAAATGAGCACTGAGCAGTCCTCGCAAACTATATATACGGGGGAAAAATCAATATTCTGTAGTGTTTAAGAAACGTTGGTCCTACGTTTTCGGAAATTCTAAGATATTTAAAGATATTTAATTCCTTCTTAATCCTATCAGGAAACTGGTAATACGTAAAATCTTCAAAGAGGGGCCTTTACATACCCTATGAATATTACAGAAAAAAGAAGTTAGAAAGACAAAGAAATAGAAAAAATCGACTTTTTATTCCAATTTCTGTGACGACCGGAAGTAATGACGACGGAAAGAATATTCATGGTGACATCTACAAGTCATTATCTATGATATCTGACAAAGTTAACTTTCATATCTTAAGCTGTTCTGGAGAAATGGAGCGGACATAGTCCTTTACCAAATTTCGTCTATACAATAATATTAAGAATATAACAGAATGCGGTGTAAGGTTCACGTCAAAACATGGTTGACGCAAAACAATTCCTGAATTTTCCCCTTCAATTCGAGCATTTCTGCATTGGACAGGGCTGATGGTTGTTTATGAGATGAAAAACTATGTGTAAGCTTTCTTAGTTTAGCGGAATCATGAACATTTTCGGCGTGATGAATAATTTGTTTACAGTAGTGATGAGGCTTTCGCGCACCTGCAGGAGCGGATCCAAGGATTTACAAATGAATAAAATTTAATAGAAATGAAGTTTTAATATTTTTAAATATTATTTAATGAAATTATTAATATGCAAGTAATAGATATAGAAGAAAACGCGAAATGCTAATGAATGCAGCTGACAATCACTACTTTCTAAAGATAAATTAATTCTAAATAAAATAATTATAAATTCTAAAGACAAAACAGAAGAAGAATGAATGGTAGTAAAATATCAAATCACATCAGGGGAACCGAACTTTATTAATGAAACTCTTAAGAAGTTCCTTATAAGTTGTAAATTTTATATCTGTGTATTCTACCTGGTTGCTTCGAGGAAAGGGGGGGGGGTCTTGAACATAAACATGTAAATTAGCATTACTTTGTAGAAAGAATTAAGGCTTATAATTTTAAAAACGTCAAGAAGAGTTGCTTGTGATATGAAAGTCAAGGTCATTTTATAAAGAATGCAAAACATAAAAGCGAAAAAGAGAGAAAGGGGGGGGGTGTAAAGATGGCAATGTCTTCTACAGTTGACAAAAATAGGGGCGAATAAAATGCACACACATATCATATACAGCCGTTTTTATTTAATATAAACTCGTTTCCATGGCAACGGCAAGGTTTTTCTGGCCTATCCCAATCACCCAGTAGGTTTTAACTCTACACCAGTTCCTACGTAAATGAGCACTGAGCAGTCCTCGCAAACTATATATACGGGGGAAAAATCAATATTCTGTAGTGTTTAAGAAACGTTGGTCCTACGTTTTCGGAAATTCTAAGATATTTAAAGATATTTAATTCCTTCTTAATCCTATCAGGAAACTGGTAATACGTAAAATCTTCAAAGAGGGGCCTTTACATACCCTATGAATATTACAGAAAAAAGAAGTTAGAAAGACAAAGAAATAGAAAAAATCGACTTTTTATTCCAATTTCTGTGACGACCGGAAGTAATGACGACGGAAAGAATATTCATGGTGACATCTACAAGTCATTATCTATGATATCTGACAAAGTTAACTTTCATATCTTAAGCTGTTCTGGAGAAATGGAGCGGACATAGTCCTTTACCAAATTTCGTCTATACAATAATATTAAGAATACTAGAAGCTCATTACTAGTAATGAGAAGGTCTTCCGTTATACTACTTCCTCTTTGCATCAACATGTCTTTTCCAACGTCGGTATTGGCCTAAAACTTATGTAGAAACAAATTAATTTAAAAAATACTTTTTTGCTTCGTTTCCTGTCACGACAGGAAGTAATGACGACACACGATTTTTACACAATGCAAATGAACTGATGACTGACTATAAGTCCTGAAAGTTTTAGACTTCAGTCTTTTACTGTTGCCGAACAATTGTGAGAACAAATTCTAATTTTGAGGACAGGAAAACACACGACCGGAAGTGAACTGAATAAAAATCTCTGAATTTTCTCTTGACTTTTGCAGTATCTACAGCATATGTAAAAAAAAACATTTCAAATACTTATCTGTAAGTAATATTTATGAGAAAGTTAAACCACGAAATAACGTAGTTTATCTCTTTAAACCGGAAGTTTGAAGTTTTTGTTTCCGTAGGAATCTAACATATTTCAAAACAGTGAAAGGGAAGCAATAGAGTGATGAATGTTTTAATTTTAAAAAGGAAAATTGAAATTTTCCATTTCTTCGATCACTTCCTGTGATGACCGGAAGTGACGGCTGACGCTTTTAAACCTATGTGTTTTGCCTTCTCACCAACGTTTATTACTCCTATAAGTTTGGTGTCTTACTTTCATGCCGTTTCCGAGATCTTGCTGAAATAACTTTTCATTTTGAGGACAAGAAAACACGCGACAGGAGGTGAATTTTACTAAGATATTTTCAGTCACTATAGACATCAGCAGTCTCAATAACATATATAAAATTCATTTAAAGAACTCTATCTATAAGCGATATGTTGGGGTAAATTCAAAAACCCTTTGATGTAGTTTTTCTCTTATAACCGGAAGTTGTCGTTTTTTTGTTTCCGGTGGGACCAACACATATCGTAACTGTGAAAAAGATACAATTACATAATGCAAGTATTATTCCAAAAGAGAAAAGTTGAAATTTTTGATTTTTTTGATCACTTCCTGTGACGACCGGAAGTGACGTTCGACGCTCTTAACTCAAATGGTTTTGTCTACTCCTCAAGGTCTGATACTCCTATAAGTTTGGTGTCTAAATCTCTTACCGTTTCTGAGATATCACTGGGAAAAGTTCTCATTTTGCGGACACTGAAACGCGCGACCGGAAGTGAATTTTACAAAGATATTTGACGTTACTCTAAACATTTGCAGTCTTGATAACATATTCAAAAATCAGTTCAAATACATTATCCATAAAAAATATTTATGGGAAAGTAAAATACTCAAATTATGCAGTTTTTCGCCTATAGCCGGAAGTTGACGTTTTTGTTTCCGGTGGGACCAACATATTTCGAATCTACAAATAAGATGCAACAATGTGATGAAAGAAAAAAATCAAAAAAGAAAAGTTGAAATTTTCGATTTCTTTGATCACTTCCTGTGACGACCGGAAGTGACGGCTGACGCTCTTAACCCAAATGGTTTTGCCTACTCCTCAAGATCTATTAACCATATAAGTTTGGTGTCTTAATCTCTTACCGTTTCTGAGATATGACTGGGACAAAATATTTTCAAAAAAAAACGGAAATCGGACATATCTGACGACCGGAAGTGAATTTTGAAAAAGTGAAAAAAAAACGCCTGGGCGTATTTTTATTTTCTATCATCCCTGAAAATTTCAAGAAAAATCGTCCAGACATCTCTGAGAAATCGCCCGGAAAAGAAAAGGGGAAAAAAAAATAATAATAAAGAAGAAACAGTAGAATCACTATAAGGTCTTCCGTCTGAAACGGAAGACCTTAATAAACAGTACAATCACTATAAGGTCTTCCGTCTGGAACGGAAGACCTTAATAAACAGTACAATCACTATAAGGTCTTCCGTCTGGAACGGAAGACCTTAATAATAAACAGTACAATCACTATAAGGTCTTCCGTCTGGAACGGAAGACCTTAATAAACAGTACAATCACTATAAGGTCTTCCGTCTGGAACGGAAGACCTTAATAAATGGTTATATCTTTTGCACCCAAAGAGAAAGGGATTTTAAATTTTTACATTTGTAATGAATTACTTGTGATAACAGTTTCCCAGACAGACAAGACAGGACAGAAAGACATTTACAATATGTAATAAAGAATTATACCCCAACCAATTAGACTCCAAAAGCAGGGGAATGTAATTTTCTGAATAAATTGCTTATTGAATTGTTATACATGTAGTAAATGATTTATTATATTGACATGTGTTAAACAATGCATTAAAAATCATACAAATTAACTACAATGTATTCACTTTTAATAAACAAAAATAAAAATATACATGTATATAAATATATCTAGCATTATGTTTTCTATATAGATTCAAAAACTCTAAAATTTATTGATTTTAATCCAACTTACCACTTGTCATCAATTCTTATTTCAAATATGAATGGGTTACTGCGAAAAATGCAAGAGGAGTTCAGGGAATCAGAAAAACCATTGTTTTTTTTTACCCCCAGTTTGAAAATCAAAATTCCAAACCCTTATTCCACATCTACAGGACATCCCCAATCATATTCCAAAATACGAATAGGTTGCTGCAAAATGTAAGAGGCATACAGGGAACCAGGTTTTTGTAGAAAAAAACTTTTTTTGACCCCCATTTTTCTTTTTTTTTTTTTAACCCAAAATTGACCTCAGGGTGAAAATCATAATTCCAAAACCTTATGGCACATCTACAGGACACTCGCATTCTTATTCCAAAATATGAATAAGCTGCTGCTTAAAATGTAGGATTGTATGAGGAAGAATATAGGGTGACAGATGGATGGATGAATGGAAAAGATCATAATAACAATATATACCTGAACTTTGCTTATAGAAAGTGTGGATATAAATAAAAATATATTTTCAAAACAATTTTTCAACTATGACACAGGCAGACTCAAGAAAATTTTGATTTACATTTACTAAATTTTGTTTGCCAGGAGCAATGAAGTCCTGTGACTGTTCAAAACAGGTAATGTAACAATTTAGCGTTAAAATATGCCTTGAAAACAGAAATTTTGCATTGTATAAAAGATGACCATAGTGCCTGATTTTTTTTTTTGGTAGAATCCAGTTTTGCAGTATGTGATATCTGTGTGCATAGCTTTCCACAAAGAACATGGATTTGGACTGAAGTCTTTGCTATACCTAATTACAGAAATTTACAAACTGTCTAGCTCATTACATCAACAGGTAAACAGCAATATCCATATCCCTTATCATAACATAAACATGCATTTAGAGAAAAAGAAAACACTGGTCATATTAAACAATACGAAAGGTTATTCTTTCAGCGTGTATTATATATATAATGGTAATACATGTGTACATTTTAGTCCGTTTTGATTTTTTTCCCTTTTCTTTAAGATCAGTATTCTTTTCGGTATTTGACTATATTTTGCAGCTTCATTTATCATATTTTATTTATATCAGGGTATTCCAATTTGCAAGATTCAAGAACATTTAGAAGCAAGTTTTAGAATTTGCAAAGAAAAAACTAAAGATCTAGAAATCCAGATAAAGACAAGTTTGACACCTCAGCCAAAGGATGACAAAACAGACTCATATTTCACTGCTCAAGAACCAAGAAAGGAGTGTAGTTTATGGATACCAGACAAATCATTGAATACCTCCATTTCAAAAAAGCAAAAATTTAATCTTGATAGTAATATTGATGAAACATGTACAGGAAAATCAACAGAAGTATGTAATATTTCTCCAATTAGGCTGAAGATGTTGAACATTCAGGCAGAGGATGAGGAAGATGTAGAAGATGTGACCTGGTTCTTCACTGAAGATACACCACTGGATACCAGCCAAATCAATGGACCGGAAGCTACATTCAGCACAGGGTGTGGAGTAGTTGGTCATTTTGATGTAGATGTGGATGAAGTGGTTAAGGAGGGAGTACAATTCATGTCCTTGAAAAATGAAGAAGGTAGAGAATCTAATGATGATGAATTCAAGGATTGTTTTGATGATATTCCAAAGGTGGTGAAATCCCAAACATTTCAAAGCACTACCTGTCGTGTTGATTCACAGACTTCTCAGAAAACACAACCATCAATAACAATGGGTTGTTTAAGTCACAATACAAAGGTTAGTTGTTATAAGTCATGGGAATCTAGACTTCAACAAAAAGTCTCTCAGCTGAAATGTCAAGATGAAAATGAATTTGACCAGAGCTTTGAAAAATCCCCTAGAAAGCCAGGTGATATCTGTGAACAAGACCTTGAAAATATGAGTATAAAGCAACAGCAACTTATTGAAAAACTCCAGAAAACATCAAAGGTCAAAAGTAGCCACAATCAAGTCTGGAACTGCAGTAGACATTTCAAAACGATGGAATCCACTGTAAAAGAGTTAAGGGGAGAAAATGATCCAAACCACAGTAGAGAAATGTCAACTACCCAAGAGGAAATGTCAGTAGATAGTTTTCCTGCAACTGTTCATGAAAAACTCGAGACCAAAGACACTGAGTCAGTCAAGAATTTGAATGATTTGATTTCAAAATTGAGAATCCAAACATCTTCATATAAAATATTCAATAGGAGCAGACACTACAAAACTGTAAAATCCACTTTAGATGAACAACATGGAGTGAAGGATGATGATCTACTAACTGTTAAGGAAAAATACTTAAAGATACAACTGCTTGAAAAAACCAAAAATATTTCCCTGAATGAGGGAGATGAAGAATTTTCCTTTGCCAATCCAGGGAACCAGTCCATTGGAGATGTAGCATACCAAACAATAGCCAAGGGAGTGAGACAGGATTGTAAGGATGTTTTAGGGGGAGATTATTTGGACATAGATGTAGGATACCAGTCAATAGCGAGAGGACTCAGTCATGGTTGTGAAGATGTAATGGATATTGTTCTCAAAGTAGTTTTCATGCAAACACCAAATCAGGATGCACTGAAGTAATATTTGATTATCTTTTCAAAAAATTGGATATATTTGAATATCCCGGTACTTAATTTCATGCAGAAAGTATTTTAATTTGTTAAACATTTAAAAATTGTTTCCTATATAAATCTAAAAAAGTGCAAAATTTCCAATGTTCTTCCGAGCGGTCCAAAAAAAAAAAAAAAGGATGTTGGACCTGCCGATGAGATGTTGGATTGCTATATTTAAAAATGTGTAACAAAACATTTACCGACTGTATTTTTGGGCATAATGCATTGTGTCAGACCCTCAAACCAAACTGTGTGCCTTTGGCCCAACAGCCTCAGGTAAACAATTTGGTTCTTGGGTCTGACAAAATGTATGTTGCCCTTGAACCAGGTAAATAAATGTATAATGTTGCAATTAATTGATACTCCTGTACATGTGTTGATCTGTGATGGTAGAGATGTCTTTTTAAAATCAGTATTTAAGGAATAAGATATCAAAAAATATAATTTATTTTAGGTTAAATGTATCTGGTGTCAGTGTTGTGACCTCAACTGTTGGCTTTCTGTCGGACAATCCTGTTATAGTGGATGGGACAGTGATTGAAGTTTCCAGTGATGTCATCACAGGTTTAGTCAACAAAGGGAGACAAATTCTCAGAACTGTGGTAAATCTATATGTTTTGTCTTGTAAACTCAAACCAGAGCTCATGTGAGCTTAGATTTTATGTCTTTTATTTGAAAGATGATGAGATGTGTGTCAGATGGGCACAATTTAAGCCTCACAATTTTGTGGGTATTTTGACACAATTGTCATTTTAATATACTTTATTGAAAAGTCTTTTGATACTTTTTAAAAAGACACTTCTCTACTCAGTGAAATGCTAGCTGGAAAGCAACTTTATCATACTAAGAAATGGAATATTTTCTTTCTCATGATAATTTTATCTTACTAGTACACATTTTTTTGTTGAATTTTTTTTATTTCTGAAGAAGGAAAGCAAATCACCTGAGATTATAGTCCAAAAATTACAAGATACCTGCATTGTTGACTATTTAGCTGACCTGAGCTGAAAGCTCAAGTGAGCTTTTCTGATCACATTTCGTCTGTAGACTGATTGTCTGTAAACTTTTTACATTTTTGACTTCTTCTCCAGAGCCACTAGGCCAATTTCAACCAAACTTGCCACAAAGCATCCTTGAGTGAAGGGAATTCAAGTAAAGGACCAAGCCCTTTTTCAAGGGGAGATAATACAGAAATAAGGAAAGTGTGGTGGTATCTTTGATAAACCTTCTTCTCTAGAACCACTGGGCCAAAAAAGTTTAAGCTTTGTGTAGATTCAAATCATGACCCAAGAGGATAGGGTGGGGCCACAATGGGGGATCAAAATTTTACATAGGAATATACTAGTAATGCATAAATCTTTAAAAAATCTTCTTCTCAAGAACAGTAAAGTCATTATTAGTCATATTGATATGGAAACATCCTCAGGTAGGATTTTTAAGTTTGATCAAAGTTATACATAAGAATATATGGGAAAAATCTTTAAACATCTTCTTGAATCAAGAACAGCAAATCCATGATTAGTCATATTGATATGGAAGCATCCTCAGGTAGTGTAGATTCAAGTTTGTTCAAATCATGACCCCCCCCCCCCCCCCCCCGGGTAGGGTGGGACCACAATGAGAGATCAAAGTTTTCTGTAGGAATATACAAGAAAAAATCTTCTTCACATGAACAGCAAGGCCATGTTTAGTTATATTGATATGGAAAGATCCTCAAGTAGTGAAGATTCAGGTTTGTTCAGATCATGACCTCCTTGGGTAGGGTGCAGTCACGATTCATTATCAGAGTTTAACATATGGATGTATAGAAAAAAAATCTCTAAATATCTTTTTCTCAAGAACAGCAAATCCATGTTCAGTAACATTGATATGGAAGTATCTTGAGGTAGTGTACATTCAAGTTTCAAATCATGACCTCAATGAGTAGGGTGGGGCTTTATCTTTAAAAATCATGACAACTGGGGGTAGGATGGGGTTACAATAGGGAAGTTTTACATAGGAATATATAATAGAAAAAAAATCTGCTGATGAAGAACAAGGCCATATTGACTCAGTGAGCGTTGTGGCCCATGGTCCTCTTGTTAAAGAAAGAAAATGATTACATATCCATATCAACTTTTGTATATACACCAGTTCATATACATCTGTAGGTCATAAATGGTGATATCACAACTGCATTCCGTCATAAGGGATACAAGTCTACCCTGGACACAGTGAACACCAGCATCTCCTCCCAGCAATACATCACTCAGAGAGAGGATGCCTGGATAGAACAGGTCATCCAAACTCTGGAAATGGTAGGGATAACCATCAGGATCCTTGAGTAGTTACTGTCAACTTGAATGCTCTTAACAGAATACTTACAGTATAACCATCAGGATCCTCGAGTAGTTACTGTCAACTTGAATGCTCTTAACAGAATACTTACAGTATAACCATCAGGATCCTTGAGTAGTTACTGTCAACTTGAACGCTCTTAACAGAATACTGTAACTGTCAACTTGAACGCTCTTAACAGAATACTTACAGTATAACCATCAGGATCGTTAAGTACCGGTAGTTAATGTGAACTTGAATGCTCTTTACAGAATACTTTTAGTGTATTGGGACATTACAAGTTTTCTTATGTTTAATGTCCACCCAAAATTCAAAAATCCATCCGTCAGGAAGAATAGCATAGATCAAATGAAAAAAAAAAACATCACAACAATACTGATTATATATTTTTATTTATTATCATTTAAGAATTTTCTTTGTATATAACTACATGTGTAATACTATATAAATATATATACAAGTATGAATCTTTTACCCAGTACTTAAAAGGAATGTGCATTAAGAATGATATCTTGATCCCAATAGATTTATAAAGAATAAGAATTTTTGTAAGTCAGGATTTTTTGTGTGTTTTTAAAAATTTTCATACCCCAAAACCAATTCGTCTGCATAGAAAAAACTTGTAATTACCTTAAATAATGTGCTACAAAACATGGATAGTTTGTAGCATGCAAGGGTAACACAGAGGAATGTTAACATCTACAAAACAGTAAATATTACAAACTTTCCCCACAATTTAGTAGAATTCAATGTTACATAGCCCAGACAGGTATGCATTCTGTTTTAGGAACAGATAGATGCTGTATTAGCCAGTGGTAAGATCTGTCCTGATCTGCAGGGTCATTTACCCAATGTTGTTATGGTACAGAATGTCCCATTCCCAGCTCTTCAATGTATCTGTGTATCATCTGACATCACAATGGCAACCTATGTGTCCGATATAGGCCAGGTATGATTTAAAAAACAAATGCAAGACATTATATTTAAATTTACATGGTAGACATATTATCAGGTTTATTTTATGCTATTAAGTAATTTAAAACATGTATGCAAAATACCTGTAGTATGCAAATTAAAATAACTGAAGTATTATGAAATATACAGAATTATATATATCACTGCATATACATTAAGTGAATTCAAATTAATAATTAACTACTGATAGCTAGTTTACATAGTGGAAAATCAGCAGAGATGTAAAGATATATGTATATGCATAATAAAGCTTTACTTCATTGTTTACAACACATTGTTTTAGAGAATTTTTTAACTTTTCACCATTCAACATGAATTTTATTACATTGAGAGGTCCTCCTTGTCTTAGCCCAATACCCTACATGTGCAACTGTGTGATAGCTTAATGCTGTTGCAAACTGATATTCTTTGAATCATATACAGTTGGACTTCAGTATCTTGAACAAATGATATGTTGAATAACATGGATATGTTGGAGTGATTTGGAAGTCTCAACCACTTATTCTTCAAGTATTTTATACCTCAAATCCTTGAAATCCTTCAGTATAATACATACATAGACATCATCAATGACAACCATACTACTGTAAGCATTTAGATCTGTTTTCACATGATACTTTTTTTCTAGTTTCACATTTGTCCTTGCCTGGCTTTTGAGCCTTTACACGATGACTGGGTCTACTGTCACACTGACAAGCAATATGTCACTGTCAAACTTCCTAAAAAACTGACACAGGTAAACTTACTGAGAATGATATTGACATCTGCATGATACTGTAAACCAACTATCATTCACGATTTGTCAGTCTGAAATCAATCTGCGACGATTAATTTTCACGATTGAGGAAACATTCTCTACATAAAAACAAAATAAATGGTTTGCTGCGATTAATATTCGTTAGTTAAAGTAGGTCGCTAAACTTGCGAATATTTCTCGCACGTGAATAAAAGTTGGTTTACAGTAACAGAATCTGGTAAAATTTGTGTATAGTTTCATTTTCAATGTTAAATTTTTACCCTTCTGAGCCAAAAAGGTCCGTCTTTAAATACCTCCAGCTTTTTACCTCATAAATCTTTGGCCATAATTTTTGTACTGTACAAGCTGATACTTCATATTGTATAATATCTTATGCCAGGTCAAGGCAAGATAGTTGTCAGTTTAGAACTAATCTATAACATATGGTATGCAACATAGGGTCCTCATATTTTAGGTTGAAGGTCAAAGCTTTTATCATTGTTCACAAACACATCTATATTTATTTATTGTTTTAAGGTACATAAATCTTCTTCTCACTCATATAATATTTAGTTAAAATACTTATGATTTTCCAACAAATCAAAAATAAATACATACGATTTCAACATACCTTGCATGGAAAATTTGTCAGAAATCAGATTTTATCAATTTAACAATTTTATAAAGGAATACTACTAAGTAATCATTTATCTCAGTAAGAGTTATCTCTCTTATCAACAAGTCATCAAGCCTTAATTTAATTTGGAAAAAATGAGTGGGTGAAAGATCAATTCATGTATTAGTTAAGTAACATTAATACGATTTTGAGTTGAAAGCTTTAAAATTACTATCTATAGGGAAATTTTCGTCCCCCGTTTTAAGTGTAGCCTCTTTTAGCTTTCATTATCAAGTGGACAAATTTGAAGAAAACACCTTTAACTCTTTAATACAACTGTATTTGGGGGAATTCATGGGGCAAATTTGTTTGCAAATTTGAAAGGATAAAAATAACATATGGAGCAAAAATAACCCTGTATACAGTATACCAATATAATAGAATTAGTTTATTTTAATTGAATAAATAAAGGACCATTACTTGACCCTTATTACCTTTCCAGAGTGTTGTATACAGTCATCCAGCCCAGATAGGCAGGGACTGCTTTGAACAGGAATTCTGGAGGTGTTGCAAGTCTTTGTCCAAGGCCTTGGGGATGGGCAGTGTGCTACCTGGGAAGGGAAAAACTGAAGAGCTTTGTGCACTGGCTCTGTTAGATAAGGCAGGTAGGGCAAGTCAAATATTTTTCTTTCATATCTTACATCATCAGATGGAATGAAGAAGGCAGTTCAAAACATCATATTATTTTATAGAAAAACCGATTATAAAGTACATGTTTATGTATACAATTGTAAATATTGATGTATTATAAATATTTATTGATCTAACCCTTGTGCAAAACTATTGTTTCCTAGATATGTCAAAAAATGGAACAAAGAGTTTAGTTATGAGAGAACTTGCCCAGGTACTGCTCAGCTATTATCATTATGTCTGCAATTATACCTCCATCACTCAACTGGTGAATAGCCTCATACTGTCACTGGGGGAAAGGGAGTCCAGTCTTCAAAGTCCTTCCTGTCGAATAAATTCAATGCAGGATGATTTGAAAGAGCATATAGAATGTTATGATGAAGGAACCACTAAGATGGCTTCCTGGGATATTGCTATCAATACAGCCTTAACATTGTTGCAGATAGATTCTTACATACTGACTGGTAGCAATTCATCCAATCAAATTTTGTGAAACTTTGTTCATGTAAGTTGAGGATGGATCATAAAAATAATTCATTGTTAGCTGGTGGTATTTATTTCAAAATTTATTGCAAAATCCCGATACACATTGTAATTTAAAATCTATAATTTTGTATAAAAACAGTAAACAATTTGAAAAGGCCTTTTCATTCTCTCAAGATACTGGAACATTCAAAGGCAGATTCAGCGCCCCTCGTTACTTTTGTTTTTAATTTGTTTGCTTTTGTGGATTTGGATTCTAATTTTTTTTGTTATTATATTTCATAGCCCAAAACAACCACAGAATTACAAATTACATCTCCAAATTACCTATAAATACAACTAATTTTACTGTTTTATTAAATACGTAGTATTTTTGACACATTTTCTTTAATGTTTTGTATTTAGATATTTTACTGGGAAAAGACGTTAATGGTAACCCAACAACAAAGCTTTATGATAAAAGTGATGACTTCAACTTTTCAATCGTCAACTTCCCTTACTTACACTGTAAAAAATGTGTTTACAATTCAAACACTTTTCTAAACACTTTGTTGTCACCTCCTTTTTTATATGTTTAATTCCTAAACATGTAAAATTTCTAAACATATCTCAGAAAGTGTTTAGAATTTAAACACTTTTGTGCTTAGAAATTAAACATATCTAAACACATAAACACAAGTGTTAAAATTCTAAACACATAACAGCAGAAGTGTTTAATATCTAAACACATAAGTATAATTTGTACCTGCAGAAAAACAAAACACTCAAATTTAGGCACAAAAAATATATGTTTTTTCAATGCGAATAATTGTCAAAATTTTCAAAAATATGTAACGATATTAATAATTTTCAATAAAGCCACTGAACGTTGGGATTTGTATTTAATTATTCAGTACAATGGACACTGTGCAATGTACTTAATTTACACAAATAATGTAGGAGATGGAACTGAATAGATTTGATTAGTCTCAACAATTCAATCAGAATGACACATAATTTATAATGTACACATGGATAACAAATTTTTAATCTTCAAAATTATGAAGAAAAAAATATTAAGCTGACAATTTAATGTCAAAACTTCATTGAATATATCTAAAAGCCTTTATTAAAGAATTTTTAAATTAAAAATACAAAATGTATATTTATATATATATTTATTATAATAATTATAATTTGAATCGGCTGCAGAGTTTTCCTCATGTCAATCACAAAAATATCAAATTTTATTAACTTTCAGCAAGTCCCAAAGCACCACATAATATAATCTATATATCCCATCAATAACTGCCAGAAAGTAACCCAATTCGAATGCACGAGGATAATTGTAAACATTGTCGAATTAACTCAGTAATCTTCACAAAATGAAGTTTCAAAGTGTTGATTATGGAACAACAAAATTGCACTTGGAGATGACACCATGTACTCTGATACGTGTATTTTGAGTTCGATCTGGACTACAGTACCTGTAGGAAAGAAAGCCAGATTGTAGTAAAAGTACAATGCCACTGATATTTTATATTAGTTAAAAAAAAAAATTGTTCAAGTTTTATTGAAACTATACTGATATAAATATAGATGTTTTAATGACATTTAATATTATTTCCTCTCCTGCAAGTCTATGAACGAGTTCAAGATATCCCAAGTCAACTTTATTTACGTTGCTCATCGTGGTTAATTAATGCAAAGAAAAAGAAAACAAACCTTTAATGTATTGCAGTAATAAGATGCCCTTTCACGTATTTCATTATTTCGCCATGGTTATCCCTTGAATTGGGTTGTCATAACTCACATTGGTACATCACCTTATAGCTTGTTGTGTTTTCTTTGTTTAGATAGCCGCTCAAATTAACGTTCAAATATATGTGTGTCATTTCCGGGAAGATAACTCTGCACTTTACAGTAAAACATGTTTAATTTCTAAACGCATTTAGATATAAAACATGTTAAGACATAAGTGTTTAGTTGTTAAATACAATACTATACACGTTTAGATCTAAACATGTAATAGAAGTGTTTATTTCCTAAACACAATTTTTACAGTGTATATGTAGCAATATACCCTTATCACCTGCATATGGGGTTTATGTATCTCAGTTGATTCAATACGCAAGAGCATGCTCTACGTATGAACAATTTCTAAAATCAGGCAAGTTATTGACAAGTTGACGAAACAAGAATATCAACAGCCTCGTTTGAAGTCATCCTTTCGCAAGTTTTTCGGTCGATACAATGACCTTCTCAGCACATAAAACCTATCATTGAGTCAAATGCCGACTGACGTTTTTCATACTAATTGTAGGCCATTATTTAAACACTGAACTGCATACGGATTTTTCCGGTTTTTGTTTCCCGATCGTGACAAGGAGCACACGGGTGTGACCGATCGGCAGGGGATGCTCACTCCTCCATGGAACCTGATCCCACCTTTAAATTCTGAGGTCCGTATTTGCTCTGCTCCAAATTTGTATCGTTTCATTGGACTTTCGAGATTGAATACTGTTCGTTATCTTCATGATTCATCTCTGTATATTCATTCCCCTAAACTAATTAAGAAACTTCAGCTGTTGGACCGCCGGTCAATATAGTTCGAACCGGGGAGCTACTGGACCTTCATTACCAATATTATTATTATGCCATATATTCGCTATAATATTGGATAATAAAACATATTTAACAGTTTAATATATCAAATCACTCAGTAGACCAGGATATTTTGATTAATTATTAGATGTCTGATCTACAGTCCAGATATAGCAAAGCCAAGAATACAATCACCGATCCTTCAGATATAGAAGACTTGCACAAACATACACAAACACGTATATACATACATACAGACACACACACAAACAAACAGTTAAACAATTTTTCACAGTTATCAATAATCAATCAATTAAAAATAATAACAAAATTATACATATACGCCCCTTACATTCCGCCACCTTCTTTTTCTATGCATCAACAGGTGCCCCCCGCTCCCGATTATAGCAACAAACTGAACAATTGACATTACTCTATAAGTATTAATAAATACATAATTGGGGAAAAAAAGAGAAGCAAATTATTACCAGTTCAATTCCCACCTTGTACGTGTTTTTTTTGTTTTTTTAAATTCGTTTACAGATAAAGTCGGGAAATAAACACCACATACTTGTCTACGGCCATATCACGTTGAAAGCACCGGTTCTCGTCCGATCACCGAAGTTAAACAACGTCGGGCCTGGTTAGTACTTGGATGGGTGACCGCCTGGGAATACCAGGTGTCGTAGACTTTTTTTTCTTTTTCTCAGCACCCTAGATTTTTTTTCTATGTTGTCAGTGAGATTAATTTATATGTAACAGTTACAAGTATAAATCGATACATGTTTGTGAACAAAATGTAAGAAAGAAAGAAAAAAAAATCGTGAATCTCGTGCAGTCAAAGGGAGACAAGCATAACATCGTTTTCAGCACATGCTTTGTACAGCTTAATGAAATCTACATAGTTTAAAAAAAAAAAATCTTCCACTGTTTAATAGTTAGTAAGAAACAAAATTAAAACATATTTGATTATTAATAAAATTTAATGAACACATTATTTATTTACTTGCATGCAACATCTTTTTTTCCAACACCACCCAGATAATTGAAAATAACGGAACATTTTCCGAGGGATAATTGTCAATCCAAGCTCAGCAATCATCATGGCACTTGGCACAACAGTTGAGACAGATAATAACTTGTTTATTCAGGCGACCGGTGTCGCATTAGTGCGCTATATAGCATGGCGTACGACAGGCAAGGGCATCACAAATCTTTACACTGCAAATCGAATACATTACCAAACTATTAGTGCTATTACAAGATGAGAGCTACCAAAGTTACCAGTTCCAGAAGGAATACCTTGGACAAGAGATTCTCCTTGATGGACAGCGAGCGTCGTTTCAAGAGAGCCTGCGAGCAGATTGTCCAGCTCAATTACAAGATGTCTGACCTACAGTCCAGATATAGCAAAGCCAAGAATGAAAATCACCGATCCTTCAGATATAGCCTCAGACTAAGACTTGCTGTCGTCGAGGGCCTCAGAAACATGTACTATGACTACGCTCACAACAAAGCCCAGACTGTTGCAGATCTACGGCGTGAAATGTTTGGAGAAGATGTACAGATCATCTCCGACGACATGTCAGACTCCGGATCAGATGAGGAGTACTGAGCAGTTTCTACAGAATAAAACATAACTGCAAAGGCTCTTTTTAGAGCCATTCAAATTTTTCGAAAAGATGCCTTTACATACAGCGTTTATTGAAACGTTCACAAAAAGTTCACAAACAAAGCATCAACCAACCCCCCCCCCTCCCCCCGAAAAAATACACATAAACAAACACGTATATACAAACATACACACAAACAAACACTAAAATATTTTTTCATAGTTATTAATTATCAATAAATATTTATACATATACGCCCCTTACATTCCGCCACCTTCTTTTTCTATGCATCAACAGGTGCCCCCCGCTCCCGATTATAACAACAAACTGAACAATTGACATTACTCTATAAGTATTAATAAATACATAATTGGGGAAAAAAAGAGAAGCAAATTATTACCAGTTCAATTCCCACCTTGTACGTGTTTTTTTTTTTTGTTTTTTTAAATTCGTTTACAGATAAAGTCGGGAAATAAACACCACATACTTGTCTACGGCCATATCACGTTGAAAGCACCGGTTCTCGTCCGATCACCGAAGTTAAGCAACGTCGAGCCTGGTTAGTACTTGGATGGGTGACCGCCTGGGAATACCAGGTGTCGTAGACTTTTTTTTCTTTTTCTCAGCACCCTAGATTTTTTTTCTATGTTGTCAGTGAGATTAATTTATATGTAACAGTTACAAGTATAAATCGATACATGTTTGTGAACAAAATGTAAGAAAGAAAGAAAAAAAAAATCGTGAATCTCGTGCAGTCAAAGGGAGACAAGCATAACATCGTTTTCAGCACATGCTTTGTACAGCTTAATGAAATCTACATAGTTTAAAAAAAAAAAATCTTCCACTGTTTAATAGTTAGTAAGAAACAAAATTAAAACATATTTGATTATTAATAAAATTTAATGAACAAATTATTTATTTACTTGCA